CGTATCGTAGACTCTCACAGAAGAGGCCTTCTTCCACCAACACAGGTGATCTCTATGGAAGGTATCATTTCATACCTTACTTGAACATATCAAGATATAGAGATCATTAAAAGCAAAGCTGACCCTAAATGCTCTTGGCATGAGTGTACTATATCTTGAATAGTACCACCCGAATAAGTCCACAATTGTCTTTTTCATTTTAACCTAATTTTGAGGCACTCTCAGTAATAGGTAGAGTCCCCCCCATGGACTTTTATTGGATCATTGGACCTAGGCCCATCTCTCTCCTTGACGTCTCAACCAACTCTCTCGGTAGATGTTTAATTTGGTTAGCGGATCCGCAATATTTTCTTTTGATTTAACACAGTCAAGAGAGATGATCCCATTTTGAAATTAATTTTCTAACGGTCTTATGTTACGACGGATGTGTCTAGACTTACCATTATAAACATCATTATGTGCCTTCCCATCGCAGCTTGACTATCACACATAATTGATATTGGAGGGACGGGCTTTTCCAAACAAGAACATCTTCCAAAAATTCTCTCAGTCGTGCAGCCTCTTCTTCGGCCTTATCTAAGGAAATAAATCCAGCTTCCATGGTAGATCTCGAAATACATGTTTGTTCTGATGATTTCCACGACACAACACCACTTTCAAGGGTAAACACATATTCACGATTTCCATGATTTTGTGCCATTTGAATTGGATATCCCATTTGCATCGGTATATCCCTCAACTACGGCTCGATATTTTTGAAAATATAAACCCTAGTCTTTAGTATACATCAAATATTCAAGCACCGTTAGAAGTGCTTTCCAGTGTTCTATACCGGGGTTTATGGAAAATTCGCTTAGCTTATTCACAGCTTGAGCTATATCAGATCATGTGCCATTCATGACATACGTTAAACATCTTATGAATTGAGGATAGTCATTTGGTGATGCACTTTCTCCTCTACTTTTACTTAGGTCAACACTGGAATAAAAAAGAGTTCTCATGGGATTGATATTATATATATATCATGAATCTGTCAAACATTTTCTCAATGTAGTGCGATTGAGATAACATCAACCCTTCAGGTGTTCTGGTGATGTTAGTTCTTAATATTACATAATTTACATCCGCAACACTGAGATCCTTCATTCTAAATTTATTGGCCAACATACTTTTGGTAGCCTTTAAAAAAGTTTTGATACTACCAAATATAAGCATATCGTCTGCGTATGGACAAACTATTATGTAGTCCTTATGATTTCTTTTCACATAAATGCACTTGTCGGCCTCATTAGTTTTAAATCCATTTGATAGCGTTACATTATCAATTTTATCATGCCATTATTTGGGGGCTTGATTTAACCCATGAAGAGATTTTACTAAGCGACAAACCTTTCTTTCTTGTCCGGGGGAAATAAAACCTCTAGGTTGTTGCATGTAAATCTCTTCCTTTAAGTCACTGTTCAAGAATGCAGTTTTTACACCCATTTGATGGATTTTCAAACCCTTCAATTCATTTATTGTCAATAGCATTCGAATTGAATTTATTTTTGTAACAGGAAAATACATATCGCAATAGTCAAGCTCTCCCTTTTGATTGTACCCTTTGGCAACCAACCGAGTTTTATATACTAAGCGACAAACCTTTCTTTCTTGTCCGGGGGAAATAAAACCTCTAGGTTGTTGCATGTAAATCTCTTCCTTTAAGTCACTGTTCAAGAATGCAGTTTTTACACCCATTTGATGGATTTTCAAACCCTTCAATTCATTTATTGTCAATAGCATTCGAATTGAATTTATTTTTGTAACAGGAAAATACATATCGCAATAGTCAAGCTCTCCCTTTTGATTGTACCCTTTGGCAACCAACCGAGTTTTATACTTTTCATTTGTTCCATTTTCTCTTCATTTTGAAGATCCATTTGTACCGTACCCTAGAAGTTTATACCTAGGGGGCAAATCTACCACTTTTCACCCGTGGTTGCTCATGAAGGAATCCATTTCACTTTTGATCGCTTGCTTATAAGTTTGAGGCTCATCGTCTAATAGGTACACAACGAAACCTGGACCGAAATCTTTAGATTTTCATTCATTCCCTTTAATTTTGCTTCAACCTATTTCAATCTCGTTTGCAACTTTATCTTTACTTTCTATAGAATCAAAATCATCTTATATGAACTTGGTTCATCAACATGGGGTGGAATGAAAATAAAATGTCCATGTTGAATGAAACAACCTCACAACTACCCATGAAAGGGAATACATTCTCAAAGAATGCACTACTATTTTGTGCATAACCTACAAAAACACAATTAATAGCCTTTCCATAACTCATATAGAATTTTGAGAGTTTTCTTGTGGGACATTCTATTTAGAATATATGTAATTTGTAGCTAGAATAGCACCCTCCCCCACAAATAATTTAGTGCGCAATAACCTATTCTTCCTTTTGAATACACCATTTGATTGAAGCGTATAAGGAGCAATTACTTGATGAATAATTTTACTTTTCAAACAAATTGATTCAAAGGGATATTCATACTCATCACCTCTATCACTTCTTAGTGTCTTAATCTTCTTACCAAGTTGATTTTCAATTTGGCTTTATAGTGCTTAAATCATTAAGCGCTTCTTACAAATACAGATAACGATATTTAGTGTTATCATTGATGAAGGTAATGAAATACCTATTCCCACCTCTAGTTTCTTCTTAGTTTAGATCACATAGATCCGTGTGTATGAGCTCTAGTGATTATGTGTCTCTTGTGATAGTTTGAAAAGTTTTTTTTTTGAAGCATGAAAAAAGGATATTCTAGGCCTCTTGACTTCTACACAAATTTCACACTTAAAGAAGACTCAACCAAATTCAAAAATCCACTTTATTATTATTCACAACTTGGGGTACAATGGTAAGTACATTCATTTTGAAGAGCTAGACCATCATTTAGATAGCCCTTTCCTACAAACACATCATTTTTAGAAAACACAAATTTATCAGCAACGAAGACAAACTTGAAGCCATTCTTGCTTAGGAGGGAGCCCGAAGTCAGATTCTTACGTATGTCAGGGACATGTAAGGATGTTTTCTTTTGGACTGAAATTTTCTGGTCTGGTCTGGTCTGGTCTGTTAAACGTCTTGTCTCTGTGTATTTTATATAACTACGGAAGTCTGATCTGGTCTGGTCTGGTCTGGGACTGAAAACAGTCCAAAAGAAAACATCCTAAATGTAGAAGAGTTATACATAAAGTGTTGTTCCTCGTTATCAACGGATTGATAATCGGTGGACATCCATTTGTTTGCACAAATGTGTCGGCCAAACCAAGAACAGTCTATTCACTCACTCCCCTCTAGACTGTTTCTCTGATATTAACGGGACCAACACTATATGTCATATAATATTTAATATTTTATACATTTCACTTTATGTGTTTTATTATCATTATATTTTATTTGTAGAGCAAAGCAAAACGATGGTAAATTTTATTTTATTGTTATAACATTTAGTCGAATAAAAGTGTAGTGTTTATACTTTTAAAATATGTATCAGAACTATATAGGCTAAGTTATATTGTGTCAAGAAAACTAATCACGCACTAATTAAATAAAAATGTGATTTGAATACTTGCTCCATTCCTACAAGTTCTGCCATTTTACAGTATAGATAGTCAGCATATTTCTTTTTAGCACTTCGTATATCCTAAATAAGAAGTACGGAGTAGATAAACTTTAATTAGTGATACTACATTACTCCCTCTGTCTCATTGTACTTTGCCAACTTTCCATTTTTTGTTGTCTCATAAAACTTTGTCACTCTCTTATTAAAGCAACTAATTTGTGGTTCTGCACATTTCTCTTTCTTCTGCACAAATTTCAACCACACAGTTTTTACTATTCTCATTTTTCACCGACTAATTTGCACTTGGCAAAGTTGACCGAGGTAGGATTATAATTTTACTTATCCACTATTATGTTGTGACAGTGTGTTAGTCGAGGGGAATACCAAAAAGATGCTTCTTTCGCTTCAAGATCTCACCCAATGATTTGGAATAAGGGCATTTTATTGTTCTTTATTTTTGACAACTTTTCTTCTTCATTTTCGTTTTGTTCTTATCGAAAGTGCACTTATTTGATGCGGACGGGAGCTTTGGGGCCTCTCTCACGTGAAAATCACATGAAGGGAATGTTGCTCCGTATGTGGATGTTGGATTCAACAGTGAACCTAATTATTACTAGTAATTGAGAGGGCACTCGGCCCCCCTTCCGCGTGATCGCAAGAAATTCAAAACATTTCCCAACATCTTTTTACCTTTGACAAATTGAGATGGTCAAATCGTGCGAATCACTTTAGTTTCCTATCTCTCCTTTCTTATTACATAAAAGGATTTCTCACTGGACTATGTTTTTACTTAGCTTTTTAATTCTGGTTTGATCTGATTTGAAGTATTCTGGTCTGATAAATGTCTGGTTTCTAAGTATTTTATAACTATGGAAATCAGGTATGCTCGGATTTGATTTGTTTAAGTCTTGTCTTGTCAAAAATCGGTCAAAAATTTTCATAAACTATAAATAGTGAAAGTGGATGAAAACTATTAAGGATATGAGGAGAAAGTAGAGGAATAATGTAATAATAAAATGAAAAATAAATCCAAAAAGTAGTTATAATTAATAACGTACTCATTATTTTAAAAGTTAGTGAGGATATGACAGAAACATTATTATTTAGTTACAGTTAAAAAGTAGGAATATTTTTTCTTCAGGTCAGACTATCAACTTCATCCTATTTACTTGATTAGGTCAGAATCACGTTTGATTCAAAGTATATCATATTGAATGTGTACATTATTGGAGGGATGCTTCCATAGGAATGTCATCACACTTTCAATAATAAACCGCTTTAAATAAAGGCGAAGCGTCGTTTTCTTCATCATTGAACCTATATCCACTGGCCTATAGCCAGCAGGAGTCATCATTGAACACTCATAATATGTGTACTATACTCCCTATATATTCTATTCTTGAGCTAGCACTGCCTTAACAAACTACACATTGACAATGCTTTAGTATATATTCAGAGTAAAAGGAGAAAAGGGTATCCATTCTCTTTGTCAAAGCCATACAAAGATCAGTGATCCAGCCATAAGAAAAAAGGGTTATCCTATCTTTTCCAAGCTAAGTAAAGATAGGATAGGATGTATAGTGGTGAGAGCAACAACGATGATGGTTTCGGGCTGAGTTTGAGCCTGGCAATGCAGTCCACCTACGGCCCGAATAGTGGATTCGAGCCAACCCATTCTTTTCCTTTGAATCTTTTGCACCCTCGTCTCTTGTCTTTCATGCACCAAAATGATACTCTCAAGAATCTCCCTACTTCCACTTCTGTTTCTGGTAAGTTAAGAAAACTTTTTGAAATAGGAATAAAAGAATTTGAAAATTCCAAATGTAATTATCATGTTTATATTTTCAAAATAGAAGTAATTAGTGCCAAATTTAAAAAACAATATTATGTTTAAAGTCTGGTACTGCTAAACATGACAATAATTAGTCGTATTTTGAGAATTAAAACATACTTCATCCTTCCCAGTAACAATGAGACAAGAGAGGGTGACACGCAAATCTATAAAAAAATGGTTTATGTGGTTAATATCGAATTTATAAAATAAGAATAAAATAAGAATGATTTAGAATCTCATTAGTCATATTTTGATGTATACAAACATTTTTTATCCTTATGTATATAATTTACCTAAGTTAAACACCTAGCTAGCTACATTCCAAAAAGTCAACCATAGGGTTTTTGCATGGCTTGATTAATTTCGAATCGTGTATTTTATTTAGGTGTAGAAGAGAAAAGTGGGGAAGGGAGAAGGTACGAGAGAGCTGGGATTGACATAAATCAGCCGGCACTGACGACGGAGTATGATGAACACGTCATGGTCGCGTCGTCCCCGCGCAGCACGGCGGCTTCGACGGTGACCGGGAAGAGGAGCGAGAGGGAATTTGACGCCGAGGAGGAAGCGGCGGCAGAGATGACTGGCAGCTCCATGGATGAAGACGGCGGAGACGAGGCGGCTGCAGCCGCCAGGAAGAAGCTGAGGTTGACCAAGGAACAAGCGGCGGTTCTTGAAGACACCTTCAAGGGTCACTGCACCCTCAACCCGGTAAGTACATACCTAGTGGCATTGGTTTTTTGGGTGTGATCAAAACCCTAGAGGTTCAAATCGTAGCAACTATCTCCACTTACCTCATTTTACTTGCCTTACTTTCTTTTATATCATCTCATCACAGGTGTTTAAATAGGAATCTCAATCACAATTTTTATTTTTTCAACAACTTATTTATACTTGTGTTAAACTAAAACAAGACACCTGAAATAGGAGGGAGAAAGTATTATACTCCTATAAACCCTACTAGCTCTTACAAGTGGAGGCTAAGTTTGGTAAATAAAAGAATTGGCTATACGTACTACTTCCTCCGTTCTTAAATAAATGCAACGGTCAACATTTCACACTTGCCGAGACACAACTTTGACCATTAATATAAATGATTTTTTATTAGTAAAAAAATTAAAAAAAATAGATTATGAAAATTTACAATGAGACAAGTTTAACAATATTTTTTTCATAAAATAATATTATTACATTAATAAATAAAACGTAGTCAAAGTAGAACATGTGAATAGTGTAAAAGTCAAAGTGTTGCATTTATTTAAGAACGGAGGTAGTATTAGAGAAAATAGGACTATTATTAGAAAATTGCCTATAAATTCCCTAGGTAAAATGTATCAAACTTTAATTTATTTTCTTCTCAAAATAGGACTTATACACTCCTATTTAGAGTAGAGAAGTTTTTATTCTTTAATTTTTAATGAGAACCTAATAAGTCATATTATGTGAAGAAAACATATGCTGTCATAGGAATTTATCCTGATAAGTTTTAGTACTGCTCTAAGCCATTTCTAATGGTATAATCTTGCTTTCATTTTCAGAAGCAAAAAGTGGCCTTGGCGAAACAGCTGAATCTTAAGCCTAGGCAGGTTGAGGTGTGGTTCCAGAACAGAAGGGCAAGGTGGGTAATAAAACTTGTCCTGCCAGTAAAAAGTTGAGCATTGATTGATTCTTTTGTTTGTTTTTGTTTGTTTGTAAAATAAAATACTACGTACAGAGTATTTATTTATTTAACAATTTATTTCTTGACACTCTTCGATCTATATACATACAAACAAACAAATTTTCAAAAAGGCTGGGTAATTAGTTAAACAGGATGCGGACTAATCAACGCTTAATTATGATTATTACAGGACGAAGTTGAAGCAAACAGAAGTGGATTGCGAGTACTTAAGACGGTGTTGTGAAAGGCTGGCGGAAGAAAACCGACGATTAGTAAAGGAAGTGGGGGACCTTCGAGCGTTGAGACTACCGCCGCCGCCGCCGCCGCAAGGGTACATGAACATGACCCCTCCGACCACGCTCATCATGTGCTCGCAGTGCCAGCGCACTCGGCCGTCGCACTCCTCCTCCTGCGACGCCGCCACATCTCCGCTCTCCACCACCGTCGCTTGCCACCCACAACATCCGCCGCCAGCTCCTCTCATGCAATGGGCTGCAATGCTCCAGTCCCAGTCCTCTTCACACCGCCATCTTGAGCAGCTATTGTAGCAATATTATTGCATGCATTAGGGCGGCCGGAATTAATTAATTAAAGTGATCGATTATAATGAGCGTTTCGTGTTTATTTACTACACGTTGGATATATTTATATAGCTTCCGAATGTTGAAGAATGATATACGAAGGATATGGCAGGCTAAGATGCTATCCAACATACATGCATCCGAGCTAGTATGTGTTATGTGTACGTATAGCTACTAGGTAGAAGATCAATTAATTTTGTGTCTTTCGATCAATTGACTAGATCGAGGATTAGTTGTATTATGTTGCGGACTATACTAAATTGTATTTATTTATTTTGGGAGATCAAGCCAATTTACTCATTGTTACTATCATTCCTACTTTGAGTGCATTTTATAAAAGAATAATCTCTACTTGATGAATAATAGGGATCCAAGCATCTATAAAATGTAGAGAGGTGAGGAAGAAGATGAATAATGTATTGTGTATTATGAACTAGGGTTACAAGAAACTCCAAGAGGAGTATAAATAGAGAATTAACGGGTTGGACTGCTAATATGCGCCCAATAGACCCAACTATCTAAATGGTTAATCACGTAGATACGAATGATATATAAAAACTGTACAATAATGTAAATACTATCTAGTAAGTGTGTGTGGGCCGCTGTCTAGGTCCAATAGTTGTGAGACCCGCGGGTCCGAGTCTATATACTCTATCACTACTTTTAGTGATAGAGTATCAATGATGTTCACATAAACAAATTTGAGTTAATTCAAATTAATGAGTGTTTATAACTCTCAACTTGTACTCTCACTTATATTATTAAAAAAATTATATTCTCATTTTCTCTTCCCTGCACTTCTCTAGTTTAGAAGATATAAGTGTTGCCCGAGATGAAGAGTGATGAACGATTAGAGAAAGTGAAGGTAAGAGTTGAAAATATCAAACGGAGATTAGTTTTTTTATACCATAAACAAGCTTTTAGTTTAAATCTACCCCCAATTTATTTTTTTAGACAACATTTCTAGTTTGGATTGTTTTTAGAAAACTCTCATTATGGATTATTATTTGAAAAATCTCTGGAAGTACAAATATAAAATATTCTTATGAATACTGTCTTTTATTTATTGATATACAAGATTTTTTGTTGCACTTTTTCAAAAGAATTGTTTAATTTTTTCTCATTGTGAATGTTCAAACTCTAACTTTTTAATTTTTTTACTAATAGAAAAATAAAGGGAGAACTACCAAATAGGCCATCGAACTTGCATAAAAAGTGAAAATCACTCATTATATAGGAGGCTCTGTCCAGCCGTCGCCATTTAGGGGGGGGTTCCAGGTGGAATTTTTTAATGAAATTTTGTGAGCATCTTAATCATTAAGTATAGTTTACTCATACGAAATTTCAGCTAAAAATTCAACCGGGAAGGCAGTCAAATGATTTTCTGAAATATACTATGTTGTTTGACTGCGCAGTTATCTTCGAAAATTTATTCGACAGCCCTCCCGATTTAAGTTTTAGCTAAAATTTGGTATGAATAAAGTAGACCTAATGAATAAGATGCTCACAAAATTTCATCAAAAAATTCCACCTGAAACCGTTCCAAATGGCGACGGACGGACATAGCCTCCTATATAAGAGGTGATTTGCACTTTTTATGTAAGTTCGAGGGCTTATTTGATAGTTCTCCCAAAAATAAATATATTGACAATCAAATTAGTGCATGGATAAACATGAAAATGAGAATGTTGTAATTAAAAAAAGAATGAGTTAGTATTTTCTTTTGTTTTAATGTCATGCAAAATGGATGGTCTGTATTTACATTGCTGCTTTGTCTTTTGCCTCATTTGGGTTGTTGGGCTTGGTCTGATTGGCCTTGGGGCCGGCTTGGGCTAGTTTTTTATCCTTCGAAACGATTTCGTTCAAAGATATGTTGGTGAGAACTCCAGTACTCATTTAAAAAATGGGGTACTGTACCTATCATTCTCTTGATTGGTCCAAGTAGGTATATCATTTTTAATTTAGACTTAATAATTCAACTGCAATATTCTGATTGGTCCATATGGACAAAGGTATGATACCTTTTGGGTACCATAGAATCTACCTTAAAAAAAGTGAATATTCTATAAAATTTGTAGCCATATATTCTCATTTCTCGGAAATCCTGTCTTCCAAGTTTCAGCCTCCTCACTACCTCGCTTCATCGCTGAAAAATATGAACTGGACAGTCCAGGCAGCCCTCCTACCTCTTCCTGCACCTATCTCGTACGGCTGAAGCAGGGGCACCATCCCCTGGCCAGTAGATCCCCCCCTGTGGAATTTGCTACTTTCCAAGAGACAATGCCAATAGTATGGCACCTGATCAAGGAAGAGGGGTAACTGGTAAGCATTGATGAGGTTATGTCGGATTGATAGCTGATCCATGGACGTTTGAACAAAACTACAAGTTTTTCTGGAACACGGGGCAGCAGGTATAGGGCAATTCATTTTGAATTAGACTTAGACCTGCCTGTTAGATTCAGGTTCGAAAAAGTAGGTTAACCATTAGGGTATATGGTGAATAGATTTAAGTGTAAATAAGACGGGATTTCGGAGAAATGAGAATGGCTACAAATTTACCAGAATATCCATACCGGCCATGAATCATTGTAGCTTCTTCAACACTATTGAGCTCCCAAGTGCAAATTAGCTAGTCTTGTTCGTGTACTCTATAAGGTATCGACTGCCTTTGGCATGTCCGGCCATCTCACCAATGCCTATTAAATCCTCACCACAGTACTCCGCTCAAGAAAAAAAGGTATCCATTATATCTCACACACACACACAACGTAAGTGAGACATAAAACTATTAGCTATCTATTACGTGCATTGTAAATTGGGTTGCATGTCACTTGAAAACATATTCATACTCACTGCCTCTACACACAACCACCAAACGTTTGTGGCTACTACAAACCAATTATGATACAACCCTCACGTTGAACCGAACTAAACTTGTGCAGATTCCCTTTGGTGAATAGGTGATGTGCCTGAACTTGCAGGATTGGCATGGTACTGCCCATAAAGTGCATATATACCAACGGCAACAATGCTGAGAAGCACAAATCTCACCCATGCCTCATAGTGCAACTGCACAACAAAAATTTAAATGATTGAGAATATGGATGTCAAGGTGTTTTTTTTTTTTTTTGGGGGGGGGAGGATGTTGATGATAAGGAGGTTGAGTTCTTAAGTTTTTATGGTTTACATTGGAATATGCAAAGGAAAATACCATATGATTGTTTGTGTAACTTTTTTAATAAACTTTTAAAATATCTTTGTCTTGATATATACGTAGTATATATATATAATAGACATACATAATTAAATGAGTATCAAGAAATTAAAAAAGGGCAGCCCTATGCACTTTGGCGTCTCCTCAAGGCGAGGATCCTAGGAAGGGACCCACCACAAGTGTGTATGAGGAGCAAAACTCCCCTTGTCATTTTGACAAGACACCACTCCCAAGACTTGAACGTCCTCTCAGGCAACGTGTAAGTGGTGCTCCAAGGCTCCCCGTTTGAGTATCAAGAAATATATAGAACAAATTTATCTGTGTTCGCCTACGTTTACTTTCCCTACACATTTCCTCTGCTATATATAGTTCTCAATTGTAATTTCCTTCTGCACTATCTTCTCGGTTTGAAACGCACCCTAAAATTTGTTCATATTATGACAAACAAGTAAACCTGGGCAAATAGAAAAATATTGAAGAAGATGCAGGCAGCTGGAAGGATTGGAACTCCAGGACAAGAAAACCCTGGCGGATCTTCATAAACCTGCAAAAAGAAAAAGAAATTCTTTTATGCACAAAATATTCAAGAAATGAAGAGTGTAGTATGCTTTGATTCTAACGGGTGTTAATGGTAATTACATGTCGGAAATGAAGAGCAACTCCAGCAAATATTGCAATGACAGCAGCTGCAATCAGGAAAGCAAAAGAAGCCCTAAAACGGTAAAGGGCTCCTGCAGCAAACCCACAACAGGCAACTAAAAAAAGGCAAATGACACCTTCTCCTCTCTTTGAAATTAATCTGGCAGTGACTTTACTCTCATTCTTAACCTTCCATCGAAGGGTTATGGCACAAGCTGAAACTACAGAATACCCTGTCTGCAATAGGGCAATGGCATGTGATCACTTTTTTTGTTTACATGTATTAGATTTCTTAAAGTAAAAATAAATAAATAAATAAATAAATAAATAAATAAATAAATAAATAAATAAATAAATAAATAAATAAATAAATAAATAAATAAATAAATAAATAAATAAATAAATAAATAAATAAATAAATAAATAAATAAATAAATAAATAAATAAATAAATAAATAAATAAATAAATAAATAAATAAATAAATAAATAAATAAATAAATAAATAAATAAATAAATAAATAAATAAATAAATAAATAAATAAATAAATAAATAAATAAATAAATAAATAAATAAATAAATAAATAAATAAATAAATAAATAAATAAATAAATAAATGCAAATGAGGGCAAACAGATATCTTAGGAGTACGCTTGGAAAATGATATGAAAGGAAATTAGTGAGAATAGTATAGGGATAATTAGAAAGAGAAGAATATGTCGAGGAGGTTATATCATTGGTTTGAAATCAATAAATCATTTGCGAACATTAAACTCTTTAAATTTATATTTTTTTTTTCTATTATGCAAAGACCAAGTAATTCATATATGTGTCAAAACAAGTAAAACACTTCATCAAATTTCATTTACGTTCGTATTTTCCCAGGTAAAGGACTAAAGGCAAGCATAAAAACTAAATTTTCATTAACATTTTTCCCCTTTTCCTACCATTTAGCAAGTTCCAAAGGTGGCCTAAAATCTAAATAAAGTCATTAAGTTTGGGATGATCTTTCAGTTTCACCTGACTTCTTCCCCCCCACCCCCCCCCCCCCCCATTTCCTCTCTATTCTCCTTCTCTACTGTTTTCCTCTCTATTCTCCTTTAGTATTTTAGGGGATCGAAACCAGACCCTAAGAAAGTGGAGAAAAGAAACAAAGAAAACATACCAAGGTGCCGACTGAGAGAATGTGTGAGAGCAAGTGGACATTAAAAAGGCCAGCCAAAATGATGGCAACAATCCCTACCCATATTTGAGAACGAACAGGTGTATGTCGTGTCAGATGTACTCGAGCAAAGAGTGAAGGCAATAAGCCATCCCTTCCCAGCCCAAGATATAGTCTGGACTGCTCATGGATAATAAGATCACAATTAGTTTATACCTTAATTGAAATAAATCAGATCAAAACGGAAATGTATTTTACTACCTGAACATAAAGCCCAACAAGAAGTGTTGTGGTGAGTCCAGCAACAGCACCAATGCTGATTAGCACTGAAACGTAGGTCAATCCCTTGGACTTGAAAACGTGTGCTAAAGGAGCTTCCTCCCCAAGGAGTTGGTATGGAACCATCCCGGTTAATACTAAGCAGACACCAATGTATAGTGCAATACAGACAAGCAGACTCCCGACAATGCCTAATGGCAGGTCTCTCTAAACGCATTTGACAAAACATGTACTGTAAAAGATACATAATTTAAGCCAGTAATTGTCAAGTGTGAATGGAATTCATCAGCTACTATCTTACCTGAGGTCTTTTAGATTCTTCAGCCGAATTAGCAACTGCATCAAATCCAATATATGCAAAGAAAACCACAGTGGCCCCAGTCAATATTGATCTTACACCATGTGGAGCAAAAGGGGTCCAATTTGAGGCATCAACCTTAAATGCCCCAGCAATGATTACAATAATAACAATGACTATCTGCAAAATGCACATTCTTTGTTAGATAAAAAGGAAACATGTATAATATTACAAGATGAAGTCAGACACTCAATTCAAATACAACTTCTTAAAGCCTCAGGGATGGGGTGTCATCCTTTTTTTTTCTTAAAGCCTTCTGGTCCAATTCAGTAATGCTACTCTCTAGAAATTCCTAATGCAAGAGGAAATAACACTCCCTGTGTCCTATACTCCTATTTAGCTGTCTTTGTTGTCTAAATCATATTATAACATAGTAAGTAGCAATTACTCACTACATATTTTATATGATTAGTAAAAGAAGGGTAAATTTTGAAAAAAGAATTTGATACATAAGAAGCCATGTTTACTAACACATGAGTTGTGAAAACGGAATAGATGTGCAAGGTGAGATCAAGAATGAGCTGGCACAAGTTTTATTTCAATCCTCTTTCTATGTCAAATGAAGATAAGTGAAAGAAGTAAATGACATTCTCACCTTTGTCATAGTCACAACTGCATTGAACACAGAGGATTCTCCAACTCCCCGGCATAAAACTAATGTCAAGATTATGAGTAGTAAAGGAGCTAATAGGTTAAAAGAAAAAACTCCAAGATAGACTTGGCTGCCATGCCCAACCCAGCTTGGGATGTGATCCTTGAAGAAAGAAATGAGCTCTAGTGTATTGATTGTATAGCTCGCTAAACTGCGTGCTATGCTAGCTGCACCGATGTGATAATCAAGCATCAACTGTGTAAAAACTAGAAAAGCTGTAAGCTCATTAAAAGCTGTATACGTGTATAAATAAGCTCCGCCAACAACTGCAGGAAACCGTGAGGCTAGCTCAGCATAACATAATGCATTAAGGACACAAGATAATCCTGCAATCATGAAACTGATAGTGACCCCTGCATTAAAACAATGAAATCTTTGTCTTTAGGTTGATGAATGAAAGGCTGGAAGCCATTCATATACTTCGTATTAAGTAGTGCTAATCCCCCACTCCAAACTAAATGTGAAGTTTACAACTTTAAACAAGGTTGAAGTGTATAACCCATTCTTGTTGAAGCATGGCTCTTATAACACATCAATCCTAAATATGTTTCAAAAATTGAAACTTGTATCCAACGATATCATTATGATGCATTGGTCAGATCGGTGGGAAGTGATGTTTTTTGTATTGTTTATTTAGAGCCCTTTTGGTAACCGGTAACCTCTTTTTCGGCTTATTAGTCTTCTCAATCACCTGGTAGATTGTGTAATTATCAAAATACGAAAGACTGAAGTTACTTTTTTGAATGAATTAGGTGATAAGGGTTATTTATCTTTTTTCATATAAATTTTAGTTTATTTTTTAATAAAATGTATTTTACGTAGTAATATATTTTTCATGATTTTGAATATTCAGTAGTTTCAACCACAATTTCATTGATTCGTCCTTAGTCCCAATGAATTCATTTCCAACAAATTGTAACTCGCAGTATTAAAAAACTTTTAAAGTGCACCTAGTTCTTTTATGCAACACCAAATTAACAATTCTACTGCACATGTAAATAGGCAAAAGTTGTGACCAAAATTCTGATCAGAAAAGAAGCAGGTTAGCAGGTATATCCCATCTATGTCTGGCCTGCTCTTACAGGTAAAAAAGTAAAGGCCTTTATTATTCTAACCTTAATGCTTAAACATTAAAAATTGGAAGCTTGAGGAAAACAAAAACAGAACAGAAGCAGAAAAGTATAAATCCAGCGCCGAGAGGTCCGATGCAAACTCACCCGGGCCGGCATCGTGGGCAACAGTACCGGTGACTACAAAGATTCCGGCTCCAATGGAAGCGCCAATTCCGAGCAGAAGGAGATCAAATAGGCTGAGACGCCGGACCAGTCCACCCCCATCGCCCGTCCTGATGGAGGTGGTGGACGGTGGAGCTATATTTTTGGACCGGCGAGCTGCCGTGTAAAAGCGAGAAAAGCACGACCCGGACGAATCTGAAGAACCGTCTGGGCGTCTTCCCACCTCCATCTTAGCTCTTCTTCCGTTGCTCAATTAAGCTGATAGCTATGGAGACCAGCCAATTCGACCCTTTCTGACTGAAACACAATCCGTAAAGGGAGTGCTGATTTCTGGCGTTATCCACTCTGCAAATTTAGTGCGCACTACCGCGACTGTATACGGCCTACCTTTCGAATCCGGGAAAGTAGTAGGATTAATATATCCCAGATTCCCGTCCATGTGAATTGCTAGATAGATTCTCGTGTGCGGCAAGACTTTTGTGAGTTCCGGGATCTCGGAAGCAAAGACAGTTTCAGGACAATTTTTTTTGTGGAAATATTTCATTTATGTCTCAAGCCCATTTATTTTTCATTAATAAACTTTTAACTTTGCACTTTTAACTTTTTTATTTCACAAATAATCCTTCTCATCGGCATAATAATCCTTCATTATTATGTTCTCCGCTTCATCACATCATCTCCTCCACCATTATTTTGTTGGCTGAATAGATTGTCGCCTCTTCGCCAAGGCACACCTATACTGGTATCGGTCGAGGGTTTTGGGGACGGCTGCCTCAAACGATCCACATCCTATGATCAATCCCTCAATCTGCTTTATCCATCCCCGAAGAAGCTAGGGAAAATAAACAAACGACGATTTGCTCAAGTTTGTTGTTGACTCACTGGTCGATCTGCTCAAATTCTATTCAATTTGATCTGTTTCACATAACTTGTTCATCGGATTTCAAGGTATTCTATGAGTTAAGCACCGAGAAGAATTTGATTTTACGTTACACCTAAAATTGATTTTATGTTAGACCTAATACTGCAAAATTAGATTTAGTTTTTTGAATAAGCCATCCAAAGTTTTTTAATTCTACTGCTAATAGACTATTTCTGGAATGAAATAGAACCTTATTTGATTGTTTAGACAAAAGTTAAAGTGACTATAACCTGTAGATTTTTAAGGTTTCACTTTCCACCAGCTTGGGCACATTATCATTGTGTTCTTCTTCAGTAGCAACTGCTCCAGTAGCCAATATTGTTTTTATTATGTGTTCTGTCCACTTTATTAAGTTCTCCATGTTATGAGGATCTAATTGGTGAATAATTTCTGATCGGATATCCTGAAATTTGTTAGTATGAGGGGACCTGCTGAAAATCCAAGTATTTGCAGCAGTTAAAACATTGACTTTTGGATTAATGAACTGGATCACTTCGTGCTCCTTGAATATGTTCAACTCTTCTATGGCAGGAATGGAATTCACACCTATTCTCTTTAGTGTGCTTTGAAGCTTTTTATCTTCAGATGTATTTATCTTGTCAGATGCCTTCTTATTTCTTTTATTTTGTATTAATCCTAGTAAAACACACTTTCATACCATTTTGTATAAAACATACTTTCATGCCATTGTTCTTTTGGAATCACCTTAGAGAAAACAATAAGAAGTGAGCTCCTAATTTGTGCTGTTGTGAGTTCTTTTATCTTAGGAGATACTCCTATATTGTCTTCCCATATATCTATTATGTTCATTACATTAGCTGATTAAAAACATTTTAGAAATGAGATTGGTTTGGATTTCCCCACCAGATTCTTGGCTTCTTCTCTCGTTAGTGTTCCAAATTAAGATGGTTAACTTCAAATTCAGGACTCCAATCATTTTTTTATAATTTTGCAGGTTCTGAAACCTTTCATACCAAGTAATAGTTGTTCTTATTTAGTTTTTTGTTGGTTCTGCCCTTGTTTCTCTAATGTGGAGTGTGAATCCTTTAGAAATGACCTAAAATGGGTGATACACAAGTATGCCATCTTCATGTTATTCTGCATTTCTTTTATAAATAACACAAGATTATTTGTAGTTATAGATCAAGAGTCCATCTGCTATGTTGTCTTCATAGTTACTGTATTACCATTGCAGGTGCAGAAAAATACACTAAGATGATAAGAAGATTCGAAGAATGAACGTAGAAAATGAAGACCAAAGTGCTAAACCTAACAAACTGTGTGTTTTGATCCATATAAGAGAAGAAGAAATGACATGAAACATGGCCAAATAATATACCCTGTAATAGATAGATGTAAACATTTGAAATAATAGATTGAGTTATTTAGTTGTGATACTCTTATATATTGTTTTTTGTTGCTTTTTGTTGCATTTTACATGTTGGATTTTGTTGCATGTCGTTGCTTTTTGTTGCATCGTATTTCATTTTGTTGCGTTGTGTTGCTTTTTGTTACTGATTTTACACTTTTATTTTTGTTGGATTGTTTATTGTTTTTGTATTTTTGCTTTTGTATTTAACAACTCTATGTACATGTGTTCGGGCAAAAAAAAAAAAAAAACTCTATGTACATGTATGTGTGCGTGTCAGTCTGTATACACACATGTCTAACATTGAAATTGTTATTCTAAATATAAAAAAACAATAAGAAACATGACTAAACAATAAAAACAAAATATAAAAAAATATCCACACAAAGCAACACAAAGAAACAAAATGCAACAAGAAATAATAACAATACAGTAATAGTAATAATAAATGTTTCACGATTAAAAAAATTAAACAAAACTTTTATTTTTATTTTATAAGTATACCATTCTACATTTTTCTATTTAAAAAGTTAAAAAAAATTGTTTTCTTTTCTTTTGTTCTTTTTATACACGTATTTTAGCTACATCTTTGTAATTTTTAAATTTAAAAATATTTTCTCTTTCATAGTTATTATGAATTTTCTAAATTTTATTTTTCTTATATTTTCATTTTTAAAATTTATTTTTTTTTGAAAATTTTGTCTGTAGTTGTTAGTATTATTGTTATGTTTCAGTTTTTAGTTTTTTATTTTTTAAGATTTTTTCCTTTTAAACAATTCTAATTATTTTAATGGTCTTTTAATAAGTCAAAATTTAATTATTATTATTTATTTATTGTTAGTTTCCTTTTAATCAATCTATTATTTCATAATTTCTGAGATTCAGAAAGTGTCCAATTTATACATATTCTCTATATCTTTATATCATTTTTTTTTAAGTATAAAGAACAGTTGTTACAAAAAAAAAGTGTAAAGAATGGTACTCAGGATATTCGGTATGCCTGGATACTTGAGTGAGGCTTTACGAATTACGAATGAGGTGGTGGTACCCTTGTAGAGTTTAGGTCTATTTTTGAAAAGAAAATCTTAGCAAGGTTATTTTTGAAAACCAAACTCAAAGGTGATAAAAGTGATATTATTTTCAGTTTTTTGACTATTTGTGAAAAAATCCCAATTTTTTTAGAACAAGTTTGTTACTTTGAATATGGATCGGATTACCTTCAAAAAACTTTGAAATGGGCTGAATGTGTTGAAGTTTAAAAATTCTTGGCCGAAAGACTCATATGTGTGGGTGATATGTAGTAATTAGTAGTGCATAAATGTATATTTTTATGTTTTCTTTGTGTGTATTGTTTACCATTTGTATTAGTTTGTAAACATTTGTTTTATTTGGTTTGTAATTATTTTTAGCTTCCATTTATAAGTTGTAAAGTAGTGGTAGAGTTTTTGGCAAGGAAAAGGAGGAAAAACAAGAGGAATGCTGCCCAAGGACACTTACCCGGTCGGGTAGGAATACTCACCCGGTCAGGTACGATTTAACAAGCGAAAGTGCCTGGAAAATCACTGGACCCGGCCGGGTCCCCTACTTGACCCGATCGGGTCAGATGTGACCCGGGACAAAACATTGTGCTGAAACACAATAACGTGGAAGATTATCTAATTTTGACATGCACCCGGTCGGGTGAGCACTTGACCCGGTCGGGTACCCGGCCCAAGGTGTTGAAAAACACCTATAAATAGCACATTTTTCCTTCACAAATAATCATTCCTTCTTCCATATACTTAAGCTCAGTTTAGAATAGTTATTTCTTATATTTTTATAGCGTGTTTAGTCTCCAAATGAGGAGCTAAACTCTCATTTCTTGGTTTTGCTCTTGAAGCTTGTTGATTATTAAAGTTGTGAGTTATTTTCTTAACTTCTTCTCTTGATTATTAATTCTTCCCTTAATCTCATTCAATATTAATGTTGGAGGGTTGCTAAGTGACGATTAGTTAACGTTCCGACATTAATTATTGCTAGAAACGACCAACGAATCGATGGTTAATCGTTGATGATTTTACAAGTAAGTAACTTCGGTTTATTAATCCACGGGCGTGGTTAATAAACTTAAGAGAGATTAATTTTGTTGGTTAAACCGAAACCGTTGTGTTAAGGTTATATCAATCTCAATTGATTTCATCAAGGAGTCAAAAGATTAAATGCTACTATTAAATCGGTATACGACGTTGTTCTATATTTGATTAATAGTAAGAGTTGTTAATGAACGGTCGTTGTTAATAACTATCCTCGATGAATTGGATATACTCCTCGATTGAGTATTCGAGAGGGGATAAGTTATAAATATAACAAGGATCGACTAAAATATATCAACAAGTGGAAAGTAGCAAAGTCAATTCCCTAGGAGTGAAAGTGTGAAGAAGATAAACTATCACGATCCAAGTTTGAATGACTGAACACAATGATAGCGTCGTGCCACGACGTTAAATAAAGCGCTTCTTGGGAGGCAACCCATGCAAGGTACATTTACTTATTGCGGGCCTTGTATTTTATTTTTGCACTTAAAAAAATCACTCCATTCGTCTTTTCCAAATTTGAACCCAATACCCCAAACTAAACTCATACTCTTTTTATTCTCTCCACTTTTATTCATTTCTTAATCAACAAAATCCACCAAATAACCCAAGACCCGAATTCCCTAACTCCACCTACACCAAGTCAGAATTTTTGCTCAACCAACAAAGAAAGAAATGACACCACAAAAAGGGTTCATCTTCTATGACGATGAGCACTAGGGACGGCGCTTTGGTTACCTTGGGGGGAAAGTTTTATGGAATACTCACATTCATACTCTTTATTCTTGTTAAAAAAAATTAATAAAAGCTTGTTAAGTTGAAAACTTGAAAGGGCAACTTAAGCAAAAATAAGAGTGAGTTGTGAGGATTAAAACAGAAAAATGTGGGAAGCGGGGATGAAAACCCGAAAGGGCACCTAGGCAAAATGAGATAAACGAGAGAAAGAATATCTTTGCAGGATCCTAAGGGTAACAATGAATAAAGAAAATTTGATTGGAGATTTGGAGTTGAAGACCCCTTCTTACTCTTTTAGTTTTGGGGATACTTTGTGTTATTTTCTATAAACACTCGTGGATGTTGGTGTTGATACTCTTGTCATTTAAAGGACTTCTCAGACAGGATTTGGTTTACTCGAGACGAGTAAAGGTTCAAGTGTGGGGGTATTATTTGATATGCACTAATTAGTAGTGCATAAATGTATATTTTTATTTTTGATTTGTGTGTATTGTTTACCATTTGTTTTAGTTTGTAAACATTTGTTTTATTTGGTTTGTAATTATTTTTAACTTCCATTTATAAGTTGTAAAGTAGTGATAGAGTTTTTGGCTAGGAAAAGGAGTAAAAACAAGAGGAATGCTGCCCAGGGATACTTACCCGGTCGGGTAGGAATACTCACCCGGTCGGGTACGACTTAACAAGCGAAAGTGGCTGGAAAATCACTGGACCCGGTCGGTTCAGATGTGACCCGTGATAAAACGACGTGCTGAAACACAAGAACGTGGAAGATTATCTGATTTTGACATGCACCCGATCGGGTGGGCTCTTGACCCGGTCGGGTACCCGGCCCAAGGTGTTGAAAAACACCTATAAATAGCACACTTTTCCTTCACAAATAATCATTCCTTCTTCCATATACTTAAGCTCAGTTTAGAATAGTTATTTCTTATATTTTATAGCATGTTTAGTCTCCAAATGAGGAGCTAAACTCTCATTTCTTGGTTTTGCTCTTGAAGCTTGTTGATTATTAAAGTTGTGAGTTATTTTCTTAACTTCTTCTCTTGATTATTAATTCTTCCCTTAATCTCATTCAATATTAATGTTGGAGGGTTGCTAAGTGACGATTAGTTAACGTTCCGACATTAATTATTACTAGAAACAACCAACGAACCGATGGTTAATCGTTGATGGTTTCACAAGTAAGTAACTTCGGTTTATTAATGCACGGTCATGGTTAATAAACTTAAGAGAGATTAATTTTGTTGGTTAAACCGAAACCGTTGTGTTAAGGTTATCAATCTCAATTGATTTCATCAAGAAGTTAAAAAGATAAAATGCTACTATTAAATCGGTATACGACGTTGTTCTATATTTGATTAATAGTAAGGGTTGTTAATGAACGGTCGTTGTTAATAACTACCCTCGATGAATTGGATATACTCCTCGATTGAGTATTCGAGAGGGGATAAGTTATAAATATAACAAGGATCGACTAAAATATATCAACAAGTGGAAAGTAGCAAAGCCAATTCCCTTTTATTCTTGAATTAAATCTCATATAAGTCATTCATCTTCGTGTTCAATTAAATTAAATCACTCAATCCCAAAAAACCCCTTTATTTACTAGTTTTTGTAAAAAGAGAATTATTCTTTTCCCTGTGGATACGAACTCTAATTCACCTATACTACGTATAAGTGCTAGTATCGAATATTATTTTGATGCACTACGACAAAGTGCTCGTCAAACATCCTTCAACAATATGAGGAGAATTCTAGCCAGCAAGTTAATTATCAGAAGTCCTCAGTGATGTTTAGCCCGAACATTAGTGACAAATCCAAGGATTATATTTGGCATTTATTGAGGGTTAACAAGGAGGACAGCAGGCCACACTATTTGGGACTCCCGTCACTGGTGGACAGAAAGAAAACTGAAATCATGGGGTACCTGAAGGAGAGAATCGTCAGTAGAATCGGCAACTGTAATAATAATTTTTTATCCAAAGCCGGTCGGGAAGTTATGCTTAAGACGGTTATCGAGGCTATGCCATCCTATGCAATGAATGTCCTCCTACTTCCAAAAGAACTGTGCTCGCAAATCGAAACCATTATGAATGGATACTGGTGGAAGGGATCCGATTTGACTAGGAAAGGCATCAGGTGGAAGACATGGCAAGCCATGTGCTACCCTAAACAGAAAGGAGGACTTGGGTTTCACTCTTTGAGGGAGTTTAATATAGCAATGCTGGGGAAACAAGCTTGGAGATTAATCTAGCAACCCGAGTTGTTAGTTGGGCGGATCTTTAAAGCAAAACATTTTCCTAGCTGTTCATTTTTGCAGGCTAAAGCGGGGGGCAATCCCTCATTTAGTTGCAGTAGCATTATACATACCCAAGGTTTGCTAGACGGAGGCATGCGTAGGAAAGTGGGAAATGGCCAAACAATCTCGGCTTGGAAGGAGAGGTGGCTACCGGGAACAAGTGATGGCATGATTCATACACCACCGCCAAATGGAATCTCGGACATGAATGTGGCTGCTTTGCTCAATGAGAGGGGAGACAACTGGAACATGACCAGAATCATGTCATTGTTCTCGGCTGAAGAGAGTAAAAATATACTGAGCATTCCTTTGAGTACGAGACTAGTTGAGGATGGGATATGGTGGAAAGCATATATGATCCACGGGGCATTTACATGGTGAAGAGTGGCTACAGGGCGCTAAAGGGAGAGCGCCAAGCGACGGGCTGAACAGGATGGACCAAGGTGTGGAATTTAAATATCCCTCCAAAAATTAAATGCTTTTTTGGCAAGTTATGTCGGGAATTCTTCCAACCTCAGTCAATCTTCACAAAAGGCGAGTGGATGTTGATGGACGTTGCAATGTTTGTGGAGACGAGGCCGAAACTGAGTTACATCTTTTCTGCGAATGCCAGGTGGCCCGGGCAGTATGGCAGCATTTGGGAACAAATTTTATTAGGCAGGGGGACACATTTGAAGCTTGGGTGAGGAGTTTTTTTTATAACATGCAACAGGAGGCCCTTGGCCTTTTCGTGGTTATACTTTGGAGTTTGAGGAAAGCTCGAAATGCAAAAGTGTGGAAGAATAAATCATTGGGTTGGCGGCAGGTAGCTGAGGAGGGGACGAATATGGTGGGGAGCTAGGTAGCAGCTCACCGCAACAAGACTGAGCAACGGACCAGGGAACCAGCACCACGGCGGAGAAAGCCGCCGGCGGGCAGCATCAAAGTGAACGCTGACGCAGCTCTAGAGGAAGGAAGAGACAGGAGGGCTTGGGCGTGGATAGTCAGAGATGATCGGGGGGATTTCTTGGCGGGAGGCAGCCGATAACGGAGGCCATTGGAGTTCGGGAAGCAATTAATTGGATCAAAGAACAACGATGACAGCGGGTAAAGGTGGAGACGGACTCTCTGACGGTAACCTCATGTATTATGGACCGAGAAGGTGATTCTTATTTTTGACACAATCCTTGAAGACATTAGACACACTCTTCGCAATGAAGCTAGCGCTTAGAAGTCATACATTGTAAAAAATCCGTGAACAGGGTAGCTCACTCGTTGGCAAGGGTTGCTCTTTCACAACCGGAGTCTTATTTTATTTATGATTCACCACCACATAGCATTGTACTCCATTTGGAGAACGATAGTTTGAATTAATACAAATCAGTTTTCCTTAAAAAACTACTTCTTCCGTTCTTAAATAAATGCAACGGTCAACATTTCACATTTACCGAGACACAACTTTGACCATTAATATCTATAGTTCTCTATTAATAAAAAAATTATATTTTGAAAATTTACAATGAGACAAACTTAACAATATTTTTTTCAAAAATATATATTAATACATTAATAAATAAAATGTAGTCAAAGTAGAATATGTGAATAGTGTAAAATTCAACATGTTGCATTTATTTAAGAACGGAGATAGTATTATTAACCCTTTGTTGGTTGAATACTGATTCAGTTCCAATTCCACCCGGGTTGTAACCTTGCTCTCACGCGTGATTTTCTTTCTTTGTCATTCCACGTTCCCACACCGGAAGAGGAGCTGCGTTTCATCTCATCAAACTCTAGATTGTCCATCCCCTTTCTGCTTCACAAGAAATGCCTTAGTAGCTCAAAGAGTCAACAGGTGGGTCACAATTGGGGGTTAAATAATCAACTCACCTTTAGGCTTTGTTTGCAAACACCGGAAAAAAAAGCATTTTCCAGCATTTGGTTTTAAAAAGCTAAAAAGAGTGTTTTTAAGCAATAATTTCAACTTCAATTAAAAGTTAAAAGCAATAATTTTTTTTTATTTTTTCTATTACACAAAAAGCACTTATTTTACCAAAAACTATCAACTTTTATTTTTCAAAATCACTTTTTTCTCCAACACTATCAACTTTTATTATTAATCATTTTTTCCCAAAATCACTTAAAAAAGTTAAAAGCACTTGAGAGTAGTGTTTTTAACTAGGCGTTTTATTCACGACTGGATCCTAGGCCCACCTTTATGGCGCCTAGGCTCTTTCAGAACACTGATTACACTCGTAACTTATTAAGTTTTATCAAAAATAAAAACAAAAAAACTTCTCAAAATATGAGTAATTAAATGAATCATACTTTGAGATGAAAATAATCACTCTTATTTTAATTGCAATAGTCAACTTTTCACGTTTATCAACATACAAGCTAGTTTGATCATTAATATCATTCTGCATTAGTAAAAAAATTAAAATTAAAAATTCTGAATTGAAAATTTTAAAACCAGAGGAATTTAGGAATACTTTTCAAAAAATAATAATTTACAATGTAAAAATAAATAAATTATATTAAAAGTAGAATATGTGAATAGTGCAAAATCGCCGATGTTACAAGTAAAATACGTAGTATGTGAATAGTGTAGCTAGATTCATAATGAGTATTTAGTTGTTATTATAATATATAATGTATCTAAGCAGATATCCGATCCAATGCTTCGTATTTGAATAACTGAATTAAAAAAAAAGTATTATATTTTTTTCGAATATATGAATATTCGAAAACTTGTCACGTATTATCAAACTTGTCACATATACTCCGTATGTATACACTACGTTTATATATGATATATACTCCGGTAGTGAGTCCGGTATGAATTTATCAAAAAACTGTAGGGAAAATATAGCCAACTTTGTAGAAGATATTTTTGAGCAAGCATGCATCTATGATCTATCGTATATGCAAGTATGCAACTGTACAATAGTCCAGTTAAACAAACTCATACATTGAAGAAAGCTAATTATGTTTTAGACAGTTTTAGGCTATGATGATATGGTAGTTAATGCATATTCGATCAGCACAAAGCCAGTCCAAGCATTTATTTAGCCAGTGTACGTCAGTACGTGATGTAGCCAATTCAATAAAGATCCCGCCCAGCTAATTAAACGATTGCTGATTATGCCGAGTCGATCGATTTCACCGCCTAAGCTAGCCATCGTAGAAGATATCCTTCGCCTGCCCGCCAGAAATTATAACATGCACAAATACGTACGTATTAATTAATAAAAATCAAACTTATATACTACGTATTATATATCGATCGTTACTCTGCATGCCATTTATCTGCCTTATACATATAACATATACTCCGTATAATAGAAGTCCACATAATGACATAAATAGAAGTTTATATTTTATACTCCGGTATTTTCTAAGTAGTATTAGGCATTATCTTTCTATCATTAATTACTATAATTAATTCATCCAAGCCTAATTTATTAGGTCGGTAATCCGGAGGCACTCCCATCCGGCCACCGGTTATGACCGGCGGCAACAGCAGTCTGACGGCGGGTGTCCGGTGACCAATTCAGTTTCCTCCATTCCTTTTTAGTGTCAACACTACGCCTCAATTTTCATGTTTGACAGTGCATAAATATAAACACTAATATACTACGTATTTCTCAATGGCATACTCCATCCGTCCTCAAATGGTTCATCAACTGCCAAATCGACTTTTCTTTCTCAATGACAAAAAAACTTTAATGATTGATATTTTTTAATACGAAGTTATTTTGAATATGAGAATGAAATCAACATATTCCTTATTCAAATTATTTTCATAATTAAAAGTATAACATTATGGACAAATATCGAAATTAAAATCATGTTCTTAAATTTGACATTATGGACCAAGAAAAGACAATATGAATATATGATGAATCTTTTCGAGATGGAGTTAGTATGAGTTTGACAATTTTAAAAATAAATAAATACGAAGTATATAATACTTTAATACAGATCAGAATAAAATATAGTTAACACTGAATATATAATAGGGAGTATAAAATTCAAGATATATATATTGCAAGTAAAAATAATGGAGCTAATATGTAGCGTGGGAATTCTCTCAATCTTGGGAGAATTCTTAAAGACGGCGTGCGTACTCACCGCGATAGCAATAGCGTAGCCCAAGATGGCAGGATAGTCGGTGTAGAATCTGAGACAGCAACTCACACAGTCCATTTTCCCGTCGCCTCGCGGTAATTTCACTGCCATCTCTTGGCTATAAGCCCACAGCGCTGGCGGATAGCATGCCATATACAGCATCACCTGCCATTCGCATACAAATATACATACATACGTTCATTAAATTAATTGTGTAATACGTAGTACTCAATAAATAATACGTGGAGTATTTATTACATTAATGAAAATGATTGGTCAATATGTATCACTCGATAATCTTGACTTAGAGATATGATATTAATGTTTTTTCAAAATAGATACGGTGAAGGCATGCGTCATGAAAATCGTCCCCTATGAACCTAAAAATCACTCTGCAGTCTGAAAGACCATGAAAAAAGGAAGATCCGGAATTGGGCCTAGTTACTCACTTTCCTCCCTTTCCTGTCATCCAAGCTAACTTCACTTCTTTCCTAATCATATTCTAGGGTGCCGGAATGGTATTTCCTACCGATCTATGCCATTCGGTTAGGGGAACATCCGAACCGAACGCGGGAGTATTAACGTTTTAATTAAGTAATGGATGTATATATGGATGTTATTACTACTCACATTCTTTTGAGTCTCAGACCACACAAAAGATTTAAACAAATCATTCTTTTCAATCTCACACCACATAAAAGATTTAAACAAATCAGATTACAACAAATCAGACTTCCATATAGTTATAAAACACACAAAGAAAACATTTAAGCGAATAAACCACTTCAAATCATACCAAACTTAAACAGGGAGACCACCAAATTATAGTCTAAGTAAAAATATCCATGCTCCTACAGTAAAATGAATAATAATGGAAGTAGTGACTTACGAAATAAACAATGTAGGGGTTGTAGCGCAAGAAAGCAGCGACGAACAAAACGAGGAGGAACATATAACTATAGACGACGCCTCTCACGTAGAACGACCTCTCCAGCGTCCTTTTCGCTCGCATTGCTCCCAGCCAGTATGCCACGTGGCACAGTGCTTGCGCCCCTATTATGGTCATCAAAAATCTGCATCCATGCAACCATGCATGTACATATATACATACGTACACAACCATATCATCATGACATCATCCCATTATCCATTTATCCATCTATCCATCCGACCTTATATATATACTTATAGCATATATTTAGGTTTTAATTTTTAATTAGTAAATGGTTTGATTAATTAAATCCGGCCTAGCTTACCCGTGGTCAATGTTGACAAAAGGTCGAAAACATGGGACAATAGAAGCCCCCATAAAAAATGTAGCAGCCATCATATAACAAATCCTCTTCGCCTATATATGATCATACACATTCACAATTTGTTAAATGTTACAATTCTCAATATATTACTAATAAACATAGCTGATAATTAAAGTGACTTATTAATATACGTATATGTATGTATGTATTACCCCCCTCCATGAAGGTGTCTTGTGTAGAAAAAACATGGATCCAGAAAATACGAGAAAAGTGAAGCGGCCCCCAATTTCACCAGCAAAATCCAGTGACACTCCCAAAATTGTGCATACACAGGCAAGCACTAGTGTTGCGTAAACCTGCAGCATGGATATAGACATATTTCGTTACCTACACGATCTACCACTTATTAGCACACTTTTAATTAACAGAAAATCAATCAGAAATAAATTTGGAGCATTTAAATACAAATTTTGAGCAATTTATGTTTACATGAATTTAGTTAAAAGTAGGGATCGGAACGATGATCGTCACAAATGAAAGACTCGATCGATTGATCAATCGCAAATACTATACATACTTCGTAAAAAAGCTAGCATTCAATAATTTAATTATATTAATGTTATATACTTCGCGCGTATATATAGTCATAATAATAACACTTCCGTACCAGAAATTTAAGAATTTTTTTAGCCAATTCCAAAACAAAATCAGAATTACTACGTATTAGTCTATTACATCGGTCGCGTTTTCAAGAAATTCAGGCCGGCTACTCGTCATCGATCAGTACTCCGACCAAGAATTAACGGAGGAGGAAATAAATAGTCAAAGCACCGCCGCCGGAGGCCAGAGGAGGAAATAAATAGTCAAAGCACCGCCACCGGAGGCCGGAGGAGGAATTAACATTCAAGAAATTAAACCAATATACTTCGTATGAATAAAGACATTATTACCTTCTTGAAGTGTGAGTGAACGTAGGAATAGGTGGGAGAGAGATCGGTCATGGTCTTCACGTCAATGCAGCGGCAGAAATAGGATCTCACAGCGGCCTTTGCTCTCCTAATCGCGGCGGAGGGCGGCATTGTGGTGGCCGGCTGCTCGCACACAGTAAAGCAGCTGGAGACGAGTTGATGAAAGTGAGATCGAGGTGAGACGTTAATTGTGATTTTTGCACCGAATTGTGAAATTAAAGAAGAGACTGGCGTAACTGAATTTTGGACTAAAGGCAACCCGCTCTATAACTAACTTTTAACCATTTCACGCGCGATATTCCGTATTATAAATGGGCTAACGGGCTAAGATCGTTACGCCGTACGCAACAAATAGTACTTTCTTGCGTACTAATTTTTTTTTTGGGATAATTATACTCTGAGCAGGGTTGGTAATATCAAAACTAGCTGAATTGACTGATTCTTTAAAGATTTATGAAATTTTGTTTAAAGTGGGTGAATTGATTGATTCTGCTGATTTATTAAAAATTTATATGAACAATATACTTTATTCATTAAATAACGAAAACAATATATGTAAATATAGCTAAAATGGTCATCTACAGTAACTTGAACAAAAAAGGCAAAAAAGGAACTCCAACATTACTTTTTCTTATTATTACGCAATTCAGCGCGCGAAAATAAAAAATCACGTGTTTAGTGAAAAGTTGGCTGAGATAAGCCTCATAAGCCAAAAAACACGGCTACCAAACGGGTTCTCTATTTCATAACCAAATTTATAAATAAAAATTGAAAATAATAATTCTAATAATTTTCTGATGTTAAGAAGTTAATTATTGATTATTACTGGATCGTCCAACTATAGAGGTCATCTTTCAATAATAGTCTTTTGTGATCACACATCGATATGGGTGATTTGGTACAATATACCAAATATTTTCTCTTATATCTTTTTCATACCAAACTTTTGGGTAAACAAAATTTATATATTGTTACTTTACCAAAATTTTGATTCGGTGATGGTAAGGTATTGATAAAGCTCAAAACATTAGAAATGCTACGTATTCATCATAATGTTAAATTGGGTCCTACAATTTATATACTTCTATGGAGTACTAGTAATAGTCTTTAGCGGGGATGTTTTATGTATTATTATTATTACATGTTTACCTACAGGAGTGTTTGTAGTTACTTAAAAAAATCGTTTTTCAACTTTTGCCTTAAAAAAAGCTGAAAAGAGTGTTTTCAAATGACAGCTTCTGCTTATATTAATCACTTAAAAGCTAAAAGCTGGAAGCAGGTGGAAGAGTGCTTTAAACTGCTTTTCACTTTTTCTATTACACAAAAACTACTTATTTTACCAAACACTACCAACTTTTACTTTTTCAGAATCACTTTTTTCTCAAACACTACTAACTTTTACTATTAAGTACTTTCTTCAAAATCACTTTAAAAAATCGTTTTTTTAAGTAGAAGCAATCGCAAACTCTCCCTGCATTCCACCGACGTGATAAATTAGTAAAGTGAGTTTATGTGGTTGATATGAAATTAATAAAGTAAGAATAATAAAAAATAAAAATAATTTAGAGTCACATCAATTGACTAGAAATCTGGGGTAATGTATTCGATCTTCTTTGGCATCCCACATTCCCACTAATTTAACAATAAAATTCCTAGGAAGCTAATTGCGGATAACAGAAGAAGCAGTACAGAGCCGAGCAGCCTCCTCTCTCCTTCAAGGATCATGCACCAGTTTATAAAGCCATGCTCTTACAAATCGGATATGCAAAGAAGGCCATGCCTGGGTACTCTGCTCTCCCATCAGTGCCTGAAGACATGATTGAAAGTGGATGGACTAGATGTGATCCAAACATAAGTGATGTGGGATTGCCTCTATACTTTGTCTATCTAGCTAACTGCTTATCTTGTATTGTGGAGTTTGGTATCTATTGGATGCACAGAGAGTTGCATGACATAAAACCACTTTATCACTACCCACCATATTTTCAACACGCAAAAGACACTTTCTCCCTTCACTGGTTTGTCATTCCACCCATTGGATGGGATACTTCCTGGACAGCCAATATTCATGACTGCCTATCACACAATTCATCATACCACATATCGGCATACTTATGGCCACTACACGATATGGATGGATTGGATGTTTCGAACCCTTCACAAACGGAAAAATGATGAGCTCAAGAAGATGTGATATATTAGCAGTAGTTTAGCATCTCATCTGTACTGGATAGAGGTGTAGCCAGCAGTATGTAGCTCTTATACAATGGGTGGTGAGGTATTGGGAGGTAATGATTTAGGCCTCATTTCCTTGCTTTTTGTGTTGGACCTACTGCTAGATACGAAGGGAGTCTATATTGGTAAGGTTGATGTATATTTCTTGTTGAAGTAGTTTCACTAAACCAGGCCTTGGAAACGGAAAAAATCCCAGTCTTTATCACAAGGAGTGAGTTTGTTTTATTTAAAGTGCTAATTTACAGCATGTCTTGAATGTAATAAGGAACAAGTTACCATCAAGGCATGCCTTTCCTACATAAAATCTCAGAACATTAGTGGAATATACCATTCTAGAGAAGAGCACTACGTCATGTTAAGTTACAAGTCTCCCTGTAAGTAATCTGGGGTGGGGGCATACCTAAGTAGCTAGCAATTTCGCCTCACTCAATTTGGCTATTTTGGCCATCATATTTGAAGCCGCGTTCTCTCTTGCTTCAGAAGGATTTGGACATACACTGCCTTTACACATATGGCACCCGTCTTGTACCATAACATTGGCAGCAAATCCATCTCTATAGCAGTTTCTTGCAATGGTTTTCCACACTGACAATGGCCTCAGACAAACTCTCTTCTTCAAGTGGTTGACTAGTTCTCTGTTGAACTTCTTCCTTTTCCAGATAAGGATTGTCAGTATCTTTTGTAAGTTCATTTAAGGAAGCATCAATATCCATTGTTTTATGTAAAATGTTCAGTTATTTGCCAAAACAACTTCTAAAACTATATATCTAGTAGGGAAAACTGTCAAATAGGTCCTCGAACTTTCATTAAAAGGTCAATTAAGTCCTTCTATAGGAAGTTCTGTCCGGCCGTCGCGATTTGGGGCAGTACCCGGTGGAATTTTTTGATGAAATTTTTTGAGCATTTTATTCATCAAGTCTAGTTTACTCATACCAAATTTTAGCTAAAAATTTAATTGGGAACACATTCAAATTAATTCTTGAAGATAACTGCGCATTTTTGCGTTCTCGAATTAATTTGAATGAGCTCCCGATTAAATTTTTAGCTGAAATTTGGTATGAGTAAACTAGACTTGATGAATAAGATGCTCAAAAAATTTCATCAAAAAATTCCACCGGGAATCACCCCAAATCGCGACGACCGGACAGAGTCTACTATAGAAGAACTTAATTGACTTTTTTATGAAAGTTCGAGGACCTATTTGACAGTTTTCCCTATCTAGTATGATGAAGAAGATTAGATAACATGCAATACATAAGTGAAATGACTAGTACTACATCATATTCCGCAATATTTGGTTGGAATTATTAAGTTGGGAGTTGGTTAGTTACATGACTTACATCATTTAATATTCATGACTATTCATTATAGGCAATAAAACGGAAGAGCGTCGAGTTTCTCTAGTTCTGTATGACTATCAAACCATTGCTTTCGGCATATTAATTCATTGTTGTTTGTATAAGTCTGAAGTATAAAACGGGGGGAATCATAGATGCATACTATCTCCAATGTCGTATTTACTAAACCAGACGAGAAGTGGGAGAAATTATGAGAAACGAATCATTGGCATCAAGGAGCAGCAGCAAAGTTTCATCTTAGATTTCAGCCATCATAAAGACAATGTAGTTTCACTAAACATATCACCAATAATATATCACTGCAAACATTATTCTTTTTGAAAGAAGTATGATTGAAGCTAGGCAAACACCTTGATAGATGTAATCTATTTTATGTTTCTTAAGAACAAAAGAAAAGCTAGAAAACGCCCTAGACTTAGGTTCTCTGAATAGCTTTTCTTGACGAGAATTAAAGGCTTTAAATTCCTGGAAATAACTATTGAGTCGTGTAATAAAGACACGAAAACGCACGAACCATTCCATGGGAATTGCAATGTTGTGAGAAAGGTTACTGCCAGTTTGTAAAGTTCCCAAAGTGCCGAAAGAATGTTTTGCAGTACTAACTGCATATATATAATTAGAGGCTTTGAATCGGTTGTGTATTTGTCCAACAAGAGATGCAGGTCAAAACCTGACCTTTCCAACCCTGCAAGATCCAGTGGCCGTCTTCCATATAAAGAAAGTCTTTGTGGTATTCTACCCTCGCCTTCCTTATGTACTTCTTAGTCTTCTTCATAACTTTAGAGTTAATGGTTACAGGGCTGAAGCCAGCCCTCATAATGCGGGAGTGCCACTGCCTATGTGTTTCAGGCCTCAAAAGCCTTTCCATGCCCTCACATGCAATGATATTCATTATATCGCGTCCCATAATTTCTTTTTCCATAATCGACCTCTCATGACCATGGCTTGGTAGAGTAGCTTCATACATATCAAATGCAGTAGAGTAGTACGAGAGAGCCTCTCGGAACCGAGTGGGAAAGAAAGGAGAGCTGAGAGCTCCACTACGCTGAGAATGCACATATATATGAGGATTTATTTTCCGGATTAAGTTTAAAAGTGCATCCTTAGGGTTGTCCCTAACAACAGCTGTTTCATCCAATAGGTCATCAAATCGGCCAGAGCAATTAACAGCAACCACCTCATCATTCACAAGCTTGAAGTCATCAGTTTTAAGTGTCTCCCAATTCTTTGCTGTTATGGAATTGTACTCAAACAGTAAACCAAAACGCTCACAATATTTTGCCAAGCGAAAACCTGTCTCTTCTACCATTTGTGATGGACGAAAACCAGGTTGGGGAAGCTCAACCCCTGTAATTCGAAGTTTTGGAGGGCCACCAGGTCTTTGTGAAAGATCACGAATAAGAGTGGGCCACTGGACACCATAAAGAATACCAAAATCTATAATGTGCAGTGATGCACATTTTGATGCTACTTCATAAATCATGTTATTCGCAAAGAAAAGTGAAACTCTCATAAATGGCAAAGATGACAAGTAGAATTTTTGAAACTCGGCGACTGTGGTGTTATTAGGAGAAAAAGCTGCATTCAGATGCGTGCCAGTTCCGGCCAAACGTGCCTCAAGACTGTCAGCAAATAAGTTCGCCAGCCTCTGGTTTGCATAGCCATTAGGCGAAGAGTGTTTCCTGATCTTCTTTAGT